GCTTGGATTCTGATAGACTAAAGTTCTGATGGACTAATATGCTAGCATTGCAATTGCTAGCTATGCAGAGAACACCTGAACAATGGCCTTTGACTCTTGGATTTAAGGTTTGTGCCATCTAACCCAGGTCTTGGAAAGTGTTAGATCGTTAAGTTAGTTTTCTTCTTTTTCTACAGTATGCCTTTTGAGGAACGTGCTGCCTGTAGAATAAATCTTCATTTGTTGACAGAAATCAAATAAAACTTCATAAACATTTTATAAAATAAAGACAGTCTGGTCCCTTGTGTGCAACCGCCCTGGGGGCCCACGGGGTTCAGCCTTGGACTCCTTGACAGGGGGTCATCTCAGGACGTACTCTAGAAGACTAAGTGGGCATTGAAAATTACATTGATCTAGCTGGGAAGACTATTTTTGCTCCCCCAGTGTCAGGAGGGGCAGCTATACCTACAAGTCTGCAGCTGTAGATTTCAAAGGCTAGGTGATTGTGGGGGGAGCGGTGGCACAGTGGGTATATCCCACTGTCTTAACATCTGAACTGTGTTAGTTCAAGCCCCATGCTGGTGTGAGCAGCCAGCTGTTGTCCCCAGCTCATCATCCACCCAGCGATTCGAAAGCTTCGGCGAGTAGATAAAATGGGAACCACTCCTTAGAGAGGGTGGGCACGCCAATCTCCCTTGTGGGAGGGTGTTAACTGACAGTCGGACATCCTGGTCGAGGCTTGGAAGGCGAAATAGCTTCTCAGCTACGAAAGAATCCCTGCAATGGATGTTCCGGCCAGGGGGTGGCAGTGTGGCGATTGACATACGGGTCCTGAAGCCTGGCCAATACGCAACCCTGCGGAAAATGATGGAACCAACCAAGAAGTCGTCTATACTGGGCAGTGACGGCGCTTGTAATTAAAAAAAATGAATATATGTTGTCTTCCCTATCCCCTACAAACATTGTTAGTCCCTTGTCTATATTGAGTTAACTGTACATCGCTTTGAGCCCACTGGGGAAAGCGATTAATAAATGGAAAGTATTATTATTATTATTATATTATTATTGTTACTTGGGAGGGGTTGCTGTCACGTTGCAGCTGACTTATTGTTATGTATGAAATGGTATGTACGAATGTATTGAGCTTGAGTCTGATGCAAGGTATTGTAAACCGACCTATCAGAACAAGGGAAGTTCTGGAGGGAAGCAAACTGATTGGTCTTTATGTACTAAATATGATTGGTTGTTATCTGACATGTGGGCGTGGCTTGCCAAGCCCGGACTGTTTAAAAAGGAGCCTGTTGCTCTGTTGTTTTGTCTCGTTCTGGTTTCTTCGTACTTCGTTCAATAAAGCTGTTATCACTGTTCACCTGCTGCCTCGAGTCTCCTATCTAACCCTTATGGAGACCCCGCAGGGTTTTCAAGGCAAGAGAGGGTCAGAGGTGGTTTGCCATTGCCTGACTCTGCATCATGACCCTGGGATTCCCTGGTGGTCTCCCATCCAACTACTGACCAGGGCAGACCCTGCTTAGCTTCTGACAAGATTGGGCCAGCTTGGTCTATCCATCTTGTATTAGTAGTTTCAAACGATGGAATCTTGATGCTTGGGACTTCTGACCGCGTTATTGTCAAATACGCTGCCATGATGTTTATGGGCTGGGGCTCATTTGCTTGACCTGTGTACCAGCCACGGCTGCATTCCTTATTTTGTTCTGTGTACTTCATTATCACTGACCTTGTAGATTGGCTGTGTAATGTCTGGGTATCATGTAACCGTGGGATCGCTTGCGATTCCCAGCTTCGGCTCTAGCAGCCTGGGGCCCCTTCTCCTGCGTGCGGGAGTCAGGCCAATTGGCCTATGGATGGGGAGGGGTGCATACGAATACCCTATATCCCATTGTGCTTGTAGAAACGTCACCATTCTTAACAGTGACCATGTTACTGCATCTATAGCTCTGCAATAAAGTATAACCTTTCTGACAAGCATGTACTCAGTTGTTGGCTGTGGAACCTGACAGTTATGCCAGAAGATGCAGCATCCTCTGTTCTTCTAGAAAGAGGGAAAGTCCCCAGGAACATGTCTTGATCATTTCCCAAATTTAAAAAAGCCAACCCAACAGAGGCTTCACTCTTTAAATAAAATAGTGATTAATATGTGTGGAAACGAACAACAACAACAAACCTCTCTGGTGTTATATCTTGCATCTGATCTAATTTTGGGGTCATCTCAGAACCTAGTCTGGAAAACTAGGGGGCACTGAAATGCACATTGAGCTCGCTGGGAAGTCTGTTTTTCTTCCTCTGCAGACAAGAGGGACAGCAATACCTGTGAGTCTGCAGTCTGTAGCCTTCAAAGGCACAGGGACCTTACTAAACCAAGACAACTTGCAATCCCCTTCACATGGCTTGCATCCATTTCTATTGCTGTTCTGTGGCCCCGGTCCCACTGCAAAGTTGCCGCGGGAGAGGCACGGATGGTGGGCGGATTATCCGGCCGCGATCACACCCCAACATCTGGGAAGTGGAGCGCACCTGTGGCTTACCGCCGAAAATGCATATCAAAAAAGTAGTACCTCCAAGGTACTAGTAAACGTTTGCCACGGGCTGCCTCCAGACTCCCATGGTGTGATCGTGCTGGTGCATGGCATTCCCCTCCGGTCCCTCGTTTACACGCAGGCGCCGAGGGAAGGACCCGTGATGTGCCGCTGGCGCATCTGATCGTGTAATCGCGGATCAAACTGCACCGGGGCAATTAGCCACGCCTCCCCCCGCGATATCCGGCCCGTGTGACCAGGGGTCTATAAAATGCATGGATGGGTTCACATCTGTGCCTGTTTTAACACAATCAGCTGCAGGATACATGACAAGGGTGGAGCAAAGTGCTGGGAGGAAGACAGCGGCTGGTGGCCCTGAACCTGAGAAATGCAATAGATGGGCAGCCGCGAGGGGAAAGTGCAAAGCAAAATGACCAGCCCATGATTGGGACAGCCAATTAGCACAAGCAGCACCTCCCCAGCAACAGGGTCTGACAATGCAGGGTAAGTTTTGGACACCTTCTAGGACTGTATAGTTACCTAACCACATGCAGGAATTGAACTGGAGACCTCATGCATGGTGGTCTGATTCATGGCCCTATGTGCTTCCCAGTCATATAAAGCTGGTTTGACAGCAGAACCCACAGAGGATTTGAAAAGTTGGCATCCTGTGTGTTTCCCTGGGAGATTCAGTAGAGGAATACTCCACCTGTAGGAGGTCTGCCTGCTGGAACCCTCTGCCAAATGACATCTGTGCCCTGTCTGATCTATTAAAGTTCCGCAGGGCATGCAAGGCAGAGATGTTCCGCCAGGCCTTTGGTTGAGGCCAGCGAAGTTTCCCTTACATCTACCTGGCACCCCCCCTCCCCCCATAAAAATCTGAATGCTAGATATGCCATCTTTGTTTTTTAAAATGTTTAAATATTTGTGCTGAATGGTTTAATATTGAATTCTTGTAGTTTTAATTGGTTTAAAAATTGTATTGGACTCTGTCGTCGTAAACCGCCCCGAGCCCCACGTAAGCGGGGAAGGGTGGTTAAGAAATCTCATGGAATAAATAAATAAATAAATAAATGAATAACTATTGGTTGGCCGCTACGTTTCATATACAATTGGCCAGGGCATCACCAGCATGGCACTCTGTGCTTGGTGGGTATTAGCTCAATGGCTATATGGACTATGGTTACGACGCTATCAGTTCCTTAGAGTAGATTGGGAAAGCATAAGCATCAGAAATCGATTTCTGTGCTGTTATTAAAACGTTCCCCATCCCCAGACTTTGTACGAGGCTGAGCCAGCACGCCACTCCCACCTGGATGATAAAAAGTTCAGGGGAAGCCAAGTCGGAATAATGAAATCTTTTATTGGTGACTGCAGACTTACAATTGTCACAGGAAGTCTTCATCAGGCAAGAAGAACAGAGATTAGCAGAGCAATTTCTACTGAATCACCATGCAGAAATTTCAGGTTAAATCATTTTCCCCACCGCCCTTCTTCTTTTTTTTTTAAATACATTTTTTATTCTTTTACATACAAGTACAATCAAATGCCTAAGAAGGGATGAACTCGAACACAGTACATTACATCTTACAAAAATGTATACATTATCAACATAATTGACCAGAGAGATCCCTAGTCATAGCCTTGGTGTGCATATTGGTTCTAATTTACTGATTCCCTTTTGTGTGTATTCGAGACTTTAACACCCATATATGTTGCTGTGGACCGTACAGTGGGTGTGGGCCCAATCCTCTATACTGCTAACAGGAGTACCCCTCACATTATAGGAACAACCATCTATGATAATAGTGATTTATGGGCAGTATCTCATGTTTCGTCATATAATTCACTATTGGTGACCAGAGCCGCCTAAATTTCCTAGCCGTAGTGTCGCTGGAAGCCTGGGCCTCCTGGATTTGGGTGTTGATTTTGGCCATTACAAATTGTTCCCAGAGTTTATCATGCCACAAAGATAATGTGGGAGGACTAGGAGATTTCCACTGGGCGGCTATTGTTAATTTAGCCGTTGCTAGTAGTAGTGATGTGAGGTTTCTCTTGTCTTCCATCGTGGAGTCATCCCATTTATTCAGCAGTATCAGTTCCGGTGTGAAGGAGAGTCTTTGGTTGGTCATTTCCTGTATGCATAAAGTTATCTCCTTCTAGAATTGGTTGATCCTTGGACAACTCCACCAACAGTGGATGTAGGAGCCTATCTGACCACATTTCTTCCAGCACGTGACGTCATTGGATTTGCTGATTTTGTTAAGTTGTTTGGGGGTTATGTACCATCTCGTGAGTAATTTGAAATTTTGTAGTCGAAGGTTGAGTACTGTTGTTTTGTTCACTGGGGAGGCTCATACCACCTCTCAATCTTTGTCTTCCCATAGCTGGTCCAAGTCCTCCTCCCACCGTGTTTGATAACTAAGCTTTGTTTGATTCTCTGCCATCCCTATCGCCCTTCTTAAACCACTGCATTGTTTGCAAGGCCTAGCCAGCAGTGTGGACAGAAAGCAAGGCAGGCTTCACAACGGCATAGCCCTTGATGGTGTAATTCAACAATCTCCAGTTAATCAGGTAGTCAGGAAGAGCTTGGTCGTACCAGGCAAGGACTACCTCATCTGGGTCCAGAACACGGTCCCACATGTATACATCGGAGATCTCCCCCATGAAGGACTGGTTGATGTCAAAGCCACCTCCAAAGTTATCCTGATCTTGGCCGAGGACAATGGATGCCTCTGGTTGGATAGAGTGTCCTTTTGCCAAGCTCTTCCGGACCAGAGGTTGCCCGTTCACCCAGAGCTCCACTAAGCCCGTGGAAGACTCCCAACTCACACAGACATGCTTCCCAAAATGGTTAGTGCTCAATGTTTCTGGAACTTTGAAGATCAATTCTTCACTCCCCAAATGAAACTTGTATTGATTGGGTTTCTGTGCTACGAGGAGAAGCTCATTGCTGTGTCTCTTGGAGGCGTAAGAGAAGAGGCTGTGTTCACGGGTCAGGTCTGTGTAGAGCCTCAAGCACAGTGTGACGCTGGTCAAGGGATGTTGTATTTTGGCCTTCAAGACTACATGTGCAGTGTTTGAGGCCACCGGGAAAACGAAGGCCTTCCTTTCCAGATCTGGTGAGGGAAAAGAGAATTAGGAATGGGGAAAATGTTCCTAGTGACATTTCACCATTTTTTGGATAGCGTTGTTGTTGTTTTCCTTTCCTCAGACTTTCTCAGATGTTTCACCTGAGAAGAAGCCTCCAGATTTCTCTTTGAGCAATGGATCACCCTTCTTTAGAAGGGATTTTGTCTTTTCTTAATTATTTTTTTCTTATCTGGACTTTCCCCCCAAGTACATACACGCCTATGTGCTATGAAGTCACACCTGACTTCTGGCGACCCCAGCCAGGGGCTTTCAAGGCAAGTGAGAAGCAGAGGTGGTTTGCCATGGCCTTCCTCTGCAGAGCCTTCCTTGGTGGTACCCCATCCAAGTATCAGGTTTGCTGAGTTTCCAACACAGAACAACCCCAGCAATGGGCCTTCAAGGCAAGCAAGAAGTAGAGGTGCTTTGCCATTGCCTTCCTCTGCAGATTCTTCCTTGGTGGTCTCCCATCCACATACCAACCTTACTTAGCTTCCAAGATCTGACATGATTAGGATATACCATACCGTTTCCCCTCCCTTCCTTCAAAGTTGATGCCTAGAATTTTTGGTTTTGTTGAAATTGGGACAGTCAGAATGGGGTGGATCCCACCCATCACTCTACTGCACTTAGCTAAGTTCGAAGTCTTCCTTCGTCTTAAGGAGCCTTTCCCCACTTCAGTGGCTATTCCATTGGAGGCAGAGCCAGTGAGCTTGGATGGAGGCTCCTTAGGATGGGGAAAGTCTCCTTGGAGGATGGTGGGATCTGCCCCCATTTTCTTTTGCTTTTCTTGATACAGCAATGTGGTTTTGCTTCAGCAACAGAGGTGTGAGTACAGGGATTATCTGGAAACTGTAGATGTTAATGAAGAAAAAATTGTGGGCTGGAGAGACACAGGGGCAGAGGTCACTTTAATTAAACCCCAGTTAGTACAGAAAAATCAGTATCTACCTGGAAGGACCTTCAAGTTTAAGGGCATGAGTGGGCCAGACTTGGAAGTAGCCCTGACAGAAGTTCCAATTAAATATAAAAATTTCCTAGGGAAATGGATAGTGGGAGTTTGGAAGGAATTAGATATACCCATTTTATTGGGGAATGGTTTGGCCTCACAATTAAAATCTGATAATGATGTAAATGTTGTTACCAGAAGTAGGCCTTTGGCTTCAAATCTGCAGGCATTCAGCCAGCAGACCAGTCTAGATGAACCTAGGACTAGTGATTCAGTAATGCTGTTACAGAAAGTGCCAGCTGCAGAATTTCTAGCAGAGAAGAAGCAAGGTCAGAGCTTAAAAGGAGCTATGGTAGAAAGCAGAGGCTACAATGCAAGGTGTTACAGTAGAAAATGCTTGCCTATTAGGGTTGCCAAGGCCTACCTTTGTAATAGCAACCTATACCTGTGATCACCAAAGATCACAAACGAGAGAGCCAGTTTGGTGTAGTGGTTAAGCGTGTGGACTCTAATCTGGGAGAACCGGGTTTGATTCCCCACTCCTCCACTTGCACCTGGCTGGATGACCTTGGGCAAGCCATAGTTCTGGCACAGCTGTTATTGAAAAAGAGCCGTTTCTGTCAAGAGCCCTCTCAGCCCCACCTACCTCCCAGGGTGTCTGTTGTGGGGAAGGGAAGGGAGAGGAGTTTGTGAGCCACTCTGAGACTCCTTTGGGTAGTGAAGGGCGGGGTATAAATCCAATCTCCTCCTCCTCCTCCTCCTTCTCCACCAAAGCCTTCACTAAAATAGGTGTGGACATTGTAGGCCCAATCTCAAGAGCAACAAGGCAGGGGAACAAGTATATTCTGACCATTGGGGACTTTGCCACGAAGTTCCCAGAAGTGATACCACTAAGGGGCATTGAGGCAAGGAGGGTTGCTGAAGCCTTACTGTCTTTTCAAGGCTAGGCTTTCCAAAGGAGATGGTCACTGATTTGGGCACCATGTCTCAAGTCATGAAAGAACTGTTGCAGGTGTGCGGCATCAGACATCTTACCACAACAGCATATCACCCACGGGCTAATGGCCACAACGAAAGATTCAATGGCACTTTGAACCACATGCTGAAAACATATGCGGTCAAGCATCCCAATGACTGGGACCAGTGTCTACAACACCTGCTTTTTGGCTATAGGGAAGTGCCACAAGAAAGTTCCAGGTTTAGTCCTTTCGAGTTACTCTTTGGACATCCAGCAAGAGGTCCAATGGACATCCTGAAAGAGGCATGGGCAGGACGAGAGAACATCCAAAGCAAAGATGTCATCACCTACCTACAAGAGCTCCAGGACGACCCACAGGAACTGAGGGCGGCAGCTGTAGACAGCATGCAATGAGCCCAGCAGAGACAGAAGACCTGGTATGACACCAAAGCCAGAGCCCAAGCCTTCAAGCCAGGAGACCAAGTCCTTCTGCTGAAGCCCAGAAGCAATCACAAGGTTGAAGTGGCGTGGGAAGGACCTTTCCAAGTGGTCCATGAGGTTTCAATGTTAACTATTTGGTTGATGTAAGTGGTGAAGGGGGACAAGGCAAAATGTTCCAAGTAAACATGCTGAAACCTTATTTTGACCGAGGTAACCTGGTCCCTATGGCCAGAGGTGGGAAGGAAGAGGTTATGGATTTGATGGGTTGGAGGAAGGTATCTAAAGGGAGTACCTTAAGTGAAGTTAATCAGGTCCCATCCCTTACAAAAGACCAGCAATGGCAGGTAAAGGCGATCTTAACAAGTTTCCAAACCATATTTTTGAACTTCCCAGGGAGAACCAGCCTTGCTCAACATAGGATCAACACAGGTGATACAAGACTTGTTGCTCTCCCACCATACAGAGTAACCGGTCCAAATTCTAGCAACATTGCAAAGGCGGTTAAAGATATGCTAGACCTTGGACTGGCTGTACTGTCAGAAAGTCCTTGGGCGTCCCCTGTCATCTTGGTCCGAAAGTAGACTACACCTTAAGATTTTATGTGTGCAGGAGGTTGGATAAAGTAACCGTGGCCCTGTTCACACGGCAAATTGGCCGGGGGAGAGCCACGATGGAATGGCGGATTTTCCAGGTGCGATCACACCACAACATCTGGCAAGTAGAATGCACCCGTGGCCAACCCGTGGCATGCCGCCAAAAATGTGCGATACAAAAATACCTCCTCAAAGGTACTAGTAAACGGTTTGCCACGGGCTGCCTCCGGACTCCCTTGGTGTGATCACGCCGGCGTGGCTTTTCCCTCTGTCCGTCTTTGTTGCAGCACACACGCCAAGGGCCGGAACTGTGGGTTGCCGCCGACACATCTGATCGTGTTGTCATGTGTCTAATTGCAGTGCTGCAATAGCCACGCCACACCTCCCCCCCGCGTTTTTTGGCCCGTGTGACCAGGCCCTGTAACTGGTATAGATCCTAAACCAAAGGTAAATTGGTGGAAATAAATGGTCTGTACACAAGATAAAAACCAAGGTGGAAATAAAAGGGTCTGTAGAAATAGTAGATACTGTAGAATTTTTTTTATAAAAAGGTCACTCACCGTTACGCTGGTTGAACCAGGTAAAGAACACAAACAGCAAACTAATCTAGTGGAGTCTGCAACTCCAAGACTACAACTTTGACATCATACATATAAAAGGGAAGGAGAACGTCATTGCAGATGTACTCTCCAGGACCACATAAATGTGGAAGGTTTAATCACACATGGTTTATATCTCAAAGTGTATGTTTATTGTTGTAATGTAACTAGAATGTTGAAAGTGTGTTAAATGTTGGTGTTTTAAATAACATAAGGTAAAGTGCACTCACATGATCCCCATTGTTCAGGTGAGACTTGTAGAAGTTTCCCCTTGTGCAGTGTTCTTAAAGGGCGGGGCATGTGATGGATTGCAAAAAAAAGCAGGCTTTTAAAAATGCTGCTTGTGTCAGAGAGTCAGGGAGTTCAAGAGTTAATCTTCCCTGGAGAGAAGAGCTTATGTGATTGGCTGCACTACGTGCTCTCTGATTGGCTAACATAGCTGAGAGAGGAAATAAAACAGCTGATCTGGAGGGAAAAGGGGTCTTTCACCTTTTGGTTGTTTGAAATCTAACATCTGGATCAGTAGTCTTCTGAGGAAAGAGACATTTGGGAGTCAGTATTTTCTGACAGGCAATAGTCAGAAAAGTACTTCTACACAGAGAAAAAGAGAAACCCCATTGTCTTAGATATATTACAACTGCTCTGAGAAAGAATTTAGAATCTCAGTTAGGACAGCTACAGAGTAGCTTTATACAGACAAAGGAAACTGGAGAAGGATTTGGCAGAAGGTCTGGGTAGTCAGAATGAACTCCCATACAAGCCAAATAGTAAAAGCAGTTATTGCTTCTTAGGGACAAGGAGAATAACTTCCTGCCAGTGAAAGGAGTTGGGAAGAGAACCCTGGTCTGTGATATAGGGGAGAAGCTTTGACGCCTCAGGAATTAGCAAAAAGCTGTGATATCTAAAGGAAACCTAGAACTCTGAAGGAATCTAGAAACATTAATAAGAACTGTGTTAGTGCTAAAACATACCAAACAAAGTACCTCTTAAAGAAAGAACTAGAAAGCCTTGAAACAAAACTACAAATACACTCTCTTGAATGTTCTAAGAATTCAACTCTGTATATATTAGAAAGTTTTTACCTCAGCAGTCTCAAAACCTTGACTATTCCTATTATACATATATTCCCTGCCAGTTTAATAAAATATTTATTCTGTTTTTTAAAGTTAATTTGCCTCAAGTGCCATTTCACAAGGATTTAAATATAAGACAGCTCCTGTATTTTCAGTAGAATTCCTGAGCTGAGAAAAAGCCTAAACTAAATCTCTGACATAGGGTGGGACAGTTAAGTCTTTTCTGACAAAGAATACTGTACTACTGTAGGGCGACTCAGTCAGTGAGGGGAACTGAAGTTTTGGCAGGAAAAATATGCCAGACAGTTGGGAAGATACAGGGGTCCATCATGGTTATGCTGGTTGTGCAAAACATCTGTCTACCAATGAGAGATAAATACCCCCAGAAGAGAGATTTTCTTCCCACCCACCCTTTGCCTGACAGGCCATCTTCTTGGCCATTTTGAGCTACTAGCCTAGCTTGGCCTAGCCCTCAGCAGCTAAGTCAACCAATGCAGTTGCCCCACAGCACAGAGTGCATCCTCCTGGGGGTGAAGAAAAAGAAGCTGAGGAAGAGGAAGAAGAACAAAAATTGAATGCAACAATGAAAATGAATGATGATTTTAAAATGGGGGGGGGGAGTGCACATCCCTAACAAGATATGCATCTCTAAACAGAAATTTCAAAATACATCATTTGATTTAAGGGAAATGCTGAGGGTGAAGAGAGTTTCAGAGGGTAGCCATGTTGGACTGCAGGAGAAGAGCTGGATTCGAGTCCCATAGCACCTTTGAGACCAACAGGATTTTTCAGGGTATGAGCTTTTGAGCTCTTATGGAGGGAGCTTTGACTGTCAACAGCCCATACCCTGAAAATCATGTTGGTCTCTGTGGTAACAGACTCATACCGAACTGCTTAGGGTGAAGCAAGTGGGGCTCTTGCCAACTGTGGAGTCAGTCAGCCCTGTATAAATAGCTCAAGATGGCACCCACCTTCCAGTCATGACTGGAAAAAACCCACAATGATTAAATCGGAAAAAGATTTAGGGAGGAAAATAGAGATGAAGGAATGGGGAAAAACCTGGAAATCAATTAAACTTCTGAGAGCAATATCCTATAGGGAAAACATATTAAAAATGATATATAGATGGCATTGGACGCCAGATAGGTTACAAAAATGTTATACAAATATTTCTGGAAACTGTTGGAGATGTAACCATAATATAGGGACGTATTTCCACATTTGGTGGAAATGCGAAAGAGCACAAAGTTTTTGGAAAATGACTAAATACCTGATAAAAGAGATTACAGATATAGACTTACCACTTACTCCTGAAATTTTCTTGTTAAATATAACACCTGATGGATTAAAATTTAATGTAAAATGTATTATTGTTTACTTAATCACTATGGCTAGGATAGCTGTTGCAAAGAACTGGAAATCAGATAATTTGCCGAGTCGCGATGTACTACTTAGCAATTTTTATGAAGTAATAGAAATGGATAAGTTAAATATGTTTTTAGCGGGTAAAACAAGTGAGCAATTCAAGCAGAAATGGCAAAAAGCCATTAATTGGTATGAAATTAACTTGTGAGGTCAACCCCCTAAATGAATGTAATGGAAATTCGTTTGTATATGACTCTGGATAAAACTTGAAAATAAAATATATATTTTTAAAAAAGATGGCACCCACCTTCCAGGGCGAGAGAGCCCAAGAGGCTGACAAGGAGGAGGAGGAGAGAGAGGAGCCCCTTCCGCATGATGGCCACACCGCAAAGTGATCCGAGTAGAGATGGAACAGCTTCCGAGAACAAAGTCAGCTTCGGGTCTTCTCCTTTTCACAGGCAGATTCCCAAGTGGGAGCTGTAAAGCCCTTCCAAAATATATCCTTGAACTGAGAGGGGCAGGGCAGGATGTTTACTCAGTAAATTTCATTGTAGGGGAAAATATTCCGGGCTGGTTACCACTTGGGGAGTAGCCAGCATCTGGTTTTTGGTTGGTTAAATTTCTTTGGAAAAGAGGCTCAGTGAAGCAGGTGCCATAAAAATGGCAGGGCAGGATGTTTGCTCAGTAAATTCTGTCGTAGAACAGTATCCGTCATTGGATGGTTAAATTCTTTGGAAAAGAGGCTCGGTGGAGCAGGAGGTCATAAGATGTGATAAGACTATTGGCAGCAAATAGTACATTGACACTGTTTATTTTTCATTCTAGTCCAAAGAACACAAGAGTACATAAGAATCCCTACTGGGAAATCAGCCCCATGCACTGTAGCCCCCACCCTGCTCGCAAAAAGACCCTCCCTCCTGAAAGATTTAAAGGGCCTTCCAGCTGATCGGCGGGCCATGTACTATCCACCAATGAGCTGAAGCCCTTTAAATCTTGCAGGAGGGGAGGGAGAGGGGTGGCCCTGGTTGGTCGTGCTTGGGGGTGGGACTTGGGGCAGGGCTTCCCTTGCCAGCCAACTGGCTGGTGGCAGATTGGAGCACCCCGAAGCAGGGGAACCCCTGCCTGGACCTAAGGGCAGGCAACTCTAGCCCATGTTGAACCTCATTTGCCATGTTGACGCCCCCTCACCCAGCCTTCACAGATCCCTCTGGAATGCCTCACAATCCTCCCTAGTTCTCACCACCCTGAACAACTTAATGTCAAACTTCGCCACTTCACCACAGTTTACTCCCAACTCCAAATCATTAATGAACAAGTTAAAAAGCACCGGACCTAGTACCGAGCCCTGCAGTACCCCACTGCTAACCCACTGTGAAAACTTTTTATTTATAGGCCCTGTTCATACGAGCACATTTGGGCCGGGAGCGGGACGGAACGGAGGCGGAGCAAATGGCCGCGATCCCACCTCAACATCTGGGGAGCGTGCCGTCTCCGTCCCTGATCCGGTCCAAATGGCGATGCCCCGCTGCGAAAACGAACCACCTATCTAGGTGGTTGCAACCGTCTGGAGCGCCCCAAGCCGGCCGTGGGATCGGCGGCGCGTCCTTGCGCCGCCGCATCCCGGCCCCCGGCCGTACTGCGCATGCTCAGGCATGCGCAGTTCGGCAGCCTCCCCCTCCCATCGGGCTCGTCCTCCCCGGCGTCTGCTCTTGCCGGGGAGAAGAGGCGCCGCGGCCAGGGGATCCGTGGGATCCCGCCGCAGCGTCTCAACGTTGGAGCGGCTCTATTTAGCCGCGCTTTGCCTCGTGGTTTCCCTGCCATGTGGCAGGGACCATACTCTGTTTCCTGTTAATTAACTAGTTTTTAATCTACAAGAGGACTTTTCCTCTTATCCCATGACTGTTGCGTTTACTTAGGAATCTTTGATGAGGAACTTAATCAAAGGCTTTCAGGAAGTCTAGGTAAACAGTATCTACTGGGTCACCCTTGTCCATGTGTTTGTTCACCCCCTCAACAAACTCTAAAAAATGAGTGAGACAAGATTGTCCCTTACAGAATCCATGCTGATTCTTCCTCAATAGCTTTTGTTCATCAATGTGCCTACTAACTCTATCTTTAATAACAGATTCCACCAACTTACTATTGATGTTAGACTGAATGGCCTGTAATTTCCCAGATCTCCTCTGGAACCTTTTTTGAAGATGGGAGTTACATTGACTACCTTCCAGTCTTTGGGAAGGGAAGCAGATTTTAGTGATAGATTGCATATTTTTGTCAGGAGATCCACAAGTTCACATTTGACTTATTTCAGAACTCTTGGACGTATGCCATCTGGGCTTGGTGATTTGTCCGTTTTTAATTTGTCCATCAGTCATACGACCTCCTCTCTTGTCACCTCAATCCAGCTGAGGTCTTTCGACACCCCTCCTGAAATGGGAGATTCTTGAGTGGCAAGCAGCTCTCATCTTCCACAGTGAAGAGACAGGCAAAAATGCATTCAGCTTCTCTGCCATCTCCCTATCATCATTTAGTAATCCTTTCACCCCTTAGCCATCCAAGGGTCCCATTGTCTCCCTGGCTGGTTTTCTGCTACTAATGTATTTGAATTTCTGTTTAAATTGTTGGTCTTTATGTTATTTGCAATATGTTCCTCATAGTCCTTTTTTGTCTGTCTGATTACTGACTTGCATTTTATTTGCCACAGCCTGTGCTCCCTTTTGGCCCCGGTCACATGGGAAACTTTGGCCCGGGAGAGGGACGGATTGGGGGGCGCAGCAAACGGGTGCGATCTCACCGCAGCATCTGGGAAGCGGCACGCACCCATCCCCGATCCATCCCTAAACCCTGAAAACCCGCTGCAAAAAAGAATCTCCTACAGAGGAGGACTTACCTGAAGCACCGCTGCAAGTGCGGCTGTAGGATCGCCACTGCGTCCGTTGTCTGGATCAATCCAGGCTCCCCGTCGAACTGCGCATGCGCACACATGTGCAGTTGGTTGTCATGCTCTTTCTTTAGTGGCTTCCCCCTGGCATCTGATCATGCCGGGGAGGAAGTGCATGGCGGCTCAGGGGATCTATGTGATCCCGCCGCCGCGTCTCTCTTTTGGTGCGGCTTTAGGAAGCCGCACTTTGCCCGTGCTATTCCCCCCCCCCCCCATGTGGCAGGGGCCTTTATTTACCTCACTTGGACTAGCCTTCCACCGCTTAAAGGAATTCTTCTTACCTTTTACTGCTTCCATTACTTTGGTCCCGATCACACACAGAATTAGCCGCGCAATAGGCACGAATGCTGGGCGGATTTTAAGGGCGCGATCACACGGAAACATCTGGCAAGCATCCCGCACCCGTCAGCAACCCGTTTCGCTCCGCCGAAGAAGCGGAGTTAAAAAATACCGGGGAAAGGGCAGTATCAAATGGGTTTGCGATGGGCCGCAGATGGGGTGAGCTCCCATCTCTGGTTCCAGCTCCTGCCAACCTAGCCGTTCGAAAGCAAGAAATTGCAAGTAGATCAATAGGTACCACTTCGGTGGGAAGGTAACGGCGTTCCGTGCGCCTTGGTGTTTAGTCATGCCGGCCACATGACCACGGAAACGTCTTCGGACAGCGCTGGCTCTTCGGCTTTGAAACGGAGATGAGCACCGCAACCCTAGAGTCGGATTCGACTGGCTTTCGAGCAAAGGAACCTTTACCTTTACCTTATGCTTTACAAAGAGGGAAAGGACACCGTTTTTTCCCTAAAATGGAAGCAAAAAACATGCAGACACGTTGAGTTATATGCCACAAAAAGTGAATCCAATCTGCTTCTAGAAGTCCTAAAGTGAAAATCAATGTTACTAATCACAATTATGACAAAAAGTAATGAAGGCTTTACAAAATAACATTTTAACAAATGTCCATCGCTAGCCAGCTGGAGTCTTTAAGTGGAAAGTGAAAACATGAAGCTGCCTTATACTGAATGGAATGAATTTGTATCTGTATGCTACAATTTATAATGGATCCCCTGACGAAGCTTACAGCAAAATGTGTTGTGATCCACAAGAGCCAAATATTCTATTTCTATTCCGCACCTTGTTTTTCTCATCCTTTTGGCTCACTGGTGCAGCCACCGCTTTTCCTGATTGCTGTTGGTATTCCAACTTGGCCATTCCTCCATGGATTGGGACAACGTATTTAGTTTTCCCCAAGACCATATAAACAAACCTCTAGAAAGACCTTCCATTTTTGAATCCCATCATCTGAACAAGAACACTAATTGGATGAACTTATTTATTTACACTTATGCAGCAGAGGTTCATCAGTGACTATTATCCACAAGGTATAGGTGGAATACTGCTCTGTATTCTTGGTGCTTGGGAGGGGGGCAACAGTGGGAGGGCTTCTGGAATTCTGGCCCCACTGGTGGACCTCCTGATGGCACCAGGGTTTTGCCAGTGTGTGACACAGAGTGTTGGACTGGATGGGCCATTGGCCTGATCCAACATGGCTTCTCTTGTGTTATTATGTCTGGGGCAGCAATGATCAGTTTTCTTGGTACTTGGGGGGGGGGGCAACAGTGGGAAGGCTTCTGGAGTTCTGGCCCCACTGGCGGACCTCCTGATGGCACCAGGGTTTTGGCCACTGTGTGACACAGAGAGGAATTTCAGACAGGTGATATATTCCGGTTCAGGAACAGTTCCCAAACGGTTTCTGGTCTGACATTTCAGACAGAACTGTTTTAGAACCGGTTCCCTACTGGAATATATTTGTACTTTCACACACAAACGCTTCTGTCCCATTCAGGAAACAGGGATGAACCATTTTACCTGTAAACCACTTCCAAGTAGTCTTCAGTTTCTTCTCCCGGATCCAAAACACTTTTTCCCGCCTTTTTTCGCCCGCGCGGGTGATCTCCGGCTTTTTAAAAAACGTTCACTTTAGAGCGCTATAGCGCTATAATACAACAGCAAAACAGTGTTACAGCAACCCCATTGGAATGCCTGGAGTGTTGTGTTATAGCGCTATAGCACTCTAAATCGAATGTTAAAAAAAAGCTGGAAATCACCCGCACGAGCAAAAAACGGCAGGAAAAAGGGGGAAAAGCACTGCAGTCTGAAATGGCAAACCGCTTCAGATCCAGCTGTTTACCAGTAGGGGAAAGCCATTTGTGAAATGGCAGCCCTATACTGGTTTACTCCACGACAGATCAAAAATGGCTTCTAACCGGCATAAAAAGGGTAATGTGAAATTTCTCAGAGTGTTGGACTGGATGGGCCATTGGCCTGATCCAACATGGCTTCCCTGATGTTCTTATGTTTTGCTTTGCCTTCTCAGCTGCTCACAAAACAGCTGAACTGCTTTGTGAAAAAGCAGTCTCCTTGCTTGTGACCTGTGAGTTG